ATCATGTTTGAGCTCTCAAGGGTATCATCTTTCTAGTGGTAAGGCCTTGTTTGCACTACACACAAGAAAGTAGCTGGAACTAAGAGATTAGTATCTTCATTAGAACATCATTAGTGAGGGTAAGTATATTGATTTCTACTGAGCTCTTCTCAACTTTAAGCTATAATATCTTTGTAAGCATACCAGTCCCTGGTCTGTTGCCCAATTTTTGCCATGCCCCAAAGGATGCTTCCTACACATCTAGCTTCCTTATGAAAGAGTATTTCATTATAAATTTCATGTCATAACAAAATAATCATACTCTCTTATAATTGTTCTTAACTGCTTTTAGCCCAGAAAACTCATGAGATTTGTTTGATATTGTCAGCTTAATACTACCAATTCAACTAATGATAATTTCTGTCAGTTTTACATCTTTCCCATTAGAATTATGATCATGGGACATAGTATTTTACATTTTAATATCAAATTATGATGAATCTCATTCTTTGTCCTTGCATTAGATAAATACAGAGAAGGGGATATAAGAGTTCTTAATGCACCAATTATCTATCATCAGTATCATGAATATTTATTCTAGAATCATCTCCATGTATGGCCCCAAAGAAATACTTCATCACAAAGCATCAGTCATATACTTTTAACATTTTATATTTTATACAATTGATTAAATATGTATTTTATCTTTATTTAATAGGAGTGAAAGTTCTACAGAAGACACCCTAACAGGGTAAGATAGGTTTTAAAAATTTATATGTTAACTACATTCAGGAATAAAAATTTTTAAAAAAAAAACTACTATTTCTGAATGCTTTTGTCTAGACTAGACAACATATTAGATATTTATCACTTAATATAGTCATAACAATAGATTTGAAAGTATTTGTGTTATTATAACACATTATTTACTAATTAAGCAACTGTCATTCAGAGTTGTTGCCTAAATAGCCCATGATCCTTTCATTAACAATAGCTGGTCTGAGACTGACAGTCAGCCTGTCTGGCTGACAATGCCATTTTCCTGCCCCACTGCCTAGGCTTCTATGCAGCCTACACTCAAGATACATGTATGATATAAGGACAAGTGCATGGAGTACTGCATACATGGTATACATTAAGGGTGTC